TTATCATATCTAACACGGAATCTTAAAGTGCAAAATTGTTCATGGCGATAACGGCGATGCATACTAAAACGTAAAGAGAATGAAGAAGAAATCGTTAGCTGATCGTGAAGGAGTCAATCAGGGAAAGAAAAGTTTTAATCTTTAACCTGATAAAAAAAGTACAGACAATCTTCCTGCTAAATTCAGTTTTCAATTTTTCTGAGAACGCTTTTCAAAGACCACAATTAATAGCGACGAAACAAAACAACAAGATTATTAATGTAAATACTTGTGTAAAAAATTAATTGTGTCATTATACTAAAAATCATGTGTAACAAGATATTTCGGATGTAATAGATAGTTAATTTTTGCGTTTTATAAGAAAAATATTCTGCATTGAATACGAAAATAAATACGAATATTCTCCTGCAAAACTATACAAAACTTATCGTGGAAGTGGATTTAGAATGGATATCCTATTTATGTATACATGGAAATTGGAAATAAAACTATGTAGCGTTGTAACAACGATTTTATATTCGAATCCACTAGCCAAAAGGTTGAGCAGGGTTTCAATTGCAAATAAACGAAATAGTAGCGGAATGAAATAGCACGCAAAGTGGGAATTTTGTTGTAAATTCCGTTTTTGTGATCATCATCTTTTATTTTAAAAAAACTTTTATATCCATAGCAGAAACAAGATTATGATTTATTAATAATTTATTGAAATACAAATCATTTATTCAAATTGTTATTAGCATAAATGAAGCAATTATGATTGACATTTGCGAAAATTGTATATTTGTGGTACGTTTGTTTATTTCTCGTGTTATAATAATTCATTTCTATTTATATTTAGTTAAACGAATGTCATTATTCACAATTATCTGCGTTAATAAATTTTATTAGTTTAATTTATTGGTTTAATTCATCATTTTCAATGACAATGAAAATGTTTGAATAAATGATATTGCTGTAATGAATATGCACGTTAAAGAAGCATTCGAGCAGATAATTAAAATTTCTAACTTCTGATTCCAATTCTTACTTTCCAGAAAATAAAATTATGATCCTATTTCATTTTGTACACACGTCAATTGCGCGAATTCTAGTATTTACATATGCATTACCTGATTATATTGCATGAATGTCCATAGACCGCATAATTTTCTACTTTACATTAATTCCTCCTTCGACGTATGTAACAAAATGCGTGATAATCGTGCGCAATTTGCTGTTTCTCATATAATTGCCAAATGCAGATTACAACTGGAATAAATATAAAAATCTCAGAATTTTAGTATATGACAACAACATTATTAAACTTTTGCAAAACGAAATTTCATCGCGTCGTTTTTTTTTATAGTTCCATATTTTAGTAGATTTATATAAAATACTACACGAAGAAGTATGCACAATTCGTATAATCAATACGTAAAGCAATCAAAATTGTAAACTCCAGACGTAATCCAAAAGGTTTAAATGTCAATATATCAAACCATGACATGGTTATAGAGTCACAAGCAAACTGTATCAAACCGAAGTTTAATTTCAATGTCGTCTTGTCAACTGCAGACTTATCGAAGAACGTATATAATTATCTGTAATGTGTATTTATAAAACTTTGAAACAATTCAAAGTTTTATTCTTATAGAAAATTAAATTCGTAAAATAAAAAATAATACAAATAAGTGTAGAAGTCAAATTTATTCAAGGCGAGTCTTAATATCTAAGAATTTTGTGTGAATTTTTATAATTTCTAGTATTTTAATTTTTATAATTTTTCATTTATTAAAAAATAATAAATTTTTAAATAATCTGAATAAGAATTATACATAATATATGAATAATGTATAACATATGAATAATTTATGAAAATTAGTATATATGTTCCTATTTTATAAAACTTCAATAAGAAGAATGTTGATAGTCATGTTTGTATGAATACTGAAGTGACTAAAAAAATAACTTTTAAATAGAATAAAAAGATTTAATATCTTTTTTTTTCCTAAAAAGATTCTATGTCTAATATACAAATAAATGTATTATAATTGTATTTTTATTAATCAAAAAAAGAAGCAAATATCCGATAGCAAATGTTCAATCGTAACAATTGTGATTATTATAATTTTGCATAATAATATCGTTAGCTTAAATGTTTATATCGAGTGCTCACTGCTATATGTCGCGATTAATAACCATAGCCAATTTATATTATCTACCTATCGCTGGGCACACACACGACGAATCCGTAAAAACTCGCGATAATCCATTTAAGCTCAGCTCGCCGTTTTCAGCCGTAAAAATTATCAGTGGAATACCAGTCCGGAATACCTCGCCACACGCATTACCAGCAAGAAAATTATATATATATCTTCTGTATGTAAAATTTGCCTATAATACTACCATTTCATATTCTCTTGTGATTTCATATAAATTCCACAAAGATTTTCCGATATTTGAATTAAGCTAAAAAAGTTAAGTAAAAACGCAGAATTTTTTTCCTTTTATTCGTTAAATTATTTCATGTGCAAAATTATTTTGTATTTCTTAAAACTATCAATTGGATTATATCTTCTATAATTGCAAATTATTTTATTATTTATATGGCAGTTGTAATTATTTATATTAAATAGATTAACATGCAAAATAATAAAAATTACAATTTATGTGAACAAAGTAATCTGATTGATATATCTCACGGATTTGTATCTCTTTTTACAATCCTTTTAATTTTATCAGATATGTGTCGTAGAAGTAGCTCTATCGAATCTCGATAAGACACATTCTTGGCAGTCTGCTTCTTAGGAAGTAGAAGCGTTTCACTCAAACACGTTTCGTGCCTCGTAAAATGGAGCTTGCTCCAAGTTTTGCCGAGAAACGAGACGAGAAGTGAGACGACGCGAGTAGTAAAATCATTAATTAAACGCTGGGAAAGGAACATATGGGGTATCATATAACGGGCTTATGTCGTGATGCACCTTTTGTGATGCAATAATGGAGATCTGCGAATGATCGTCGTATAGACAATGGTGTTTTTATAAGAAAGTAAAAAAACGGATAATATATATATAATAAGGAAGAATAATAAAAGTGATATTTTCACACCGCTTTTCATTGCGCTTCATCACGCTCGAATCATACTTAATACTGTCGACAAGCCACTTCTGTTCGATGATAGTGGAAAAGTGTAATAAATTCTATCGCGGCTCACTGAAATGGATATCACGCGCGGGGCTTGCGATCAATTTAAAACGACCAGCTATCAGCGGTGACGCGCTACTGGAAAACTATTAAGGTGAAGCTTTTACAAGTACAAATTGGAGCGCAGCTTTCCGATGAATACAGCTATTTGCATATATTGAATTTATCACGAAGTAAGAATAGGATCCATTCTTATTGTAATTGGAGAAATCATCGAGTGACTTTGATTTCTTTTAGGAATACAAATCACGTCTGATTTACATTAATAATTCGTTTCATAAATGATCAATCCCCTTGAGATAAAATTTCCTTTATCTATATTTTGTAAAAAAAGGATTCTATTTTTAGGAATTACATAAATTTACGTCATTTATTGATTTATATCGCATTCATTCACTGTTAAATTTATAACGTTAAATGATAACCCAATTTGTATTATTTATAATCATTTTTATAGATTGCTATTGCTCCTATCCAATACTAATCGTCGTTAATTAACTGAAGCAATGAAATTAAGCAATTTAATTCAAGAAATTGTATTAAATTTGACTCAAACTTAATTTATTATTTATTAATGTTTAAAAACATCGTTTTTAAACTTTAAAACTAATTACAAAAATGGATTGATTTATAACACAGGCTAAAAATATACAAATTAAAAATAACAAAATGACAAAAGAGTCAATTAAATAAAAATAATCACTAAAAGGAAATTACTAAAGATAACAAGTTAAAATCTGTTATCTTTGCGATTTGATCTTCCATTAAATTTACATACTGCACATCTAAAGAATCGTTTAATATTAAAGATGCTTGCTAAGAAAGTTTTGAAAACTTGGTCAGAGAACTGTGAGTAACAACACGATCAAACTACTTCGTAACCACGGATCTGCCACAAGCGTATCGTTCAATATCCGACGAGCTCTGGTGTCTTGTTTTGTATAGTTTGTATCAATCTCCAAACTCTACGTATCCTTTGGATAGAATAATAGTAGCACAGATGTGGAACTTCCGTGACATATATAAGATCAATGTTTGTTCATATAACTTGTTATTTTAAACATTGATGGAACAACATGTACTTAATTTAGATAGATACTGATATAAGAAAAAAATTATCTGATTATGCAACATAATATTATATCTTTTTTTTTTTATGTAGAATATGTACAGTTCTATTTCGTTAATTCATATCACAAAAAGATATAGAACAAGAACTTCTGGCTTTTATAGTTCTTTATAGCTTAACACGAACGTAATATTTGTAATTTAATATCTTAAGTGCAGCTGCAGATACAGACGCCAATAGCAGTTATAATCAAATAAAAGATATAGATAATCATTTTGGACAATAGTAGTTAGATACATATGATATGAATCATAGAAATCAAATTTTTACAAATAATGCCCAAGAATCTTTAATCTAATAGGTTAAACATATCTATATATTACTTAATAGTAACATTAATTTAGTACTTAATGTTCTCCCTTAAGCACTGTTAAATGTATTCAATAATGCAGTGAATAATTCAGCAGTGAATAAATTTACTACATTTACATATTAAATATGTTTATGTGTAATGATCATATTGCAAATTATACGCTTTGTAGAATTACATTACAAACACAGCTAACAACATAACTTTACTTCTTCTTCTTAAAATGTATTCGTGACACACGATGTGTCTCTTGATTGTAGAATAGAAATGTTTTTTTCGAAGCTAATGCAAACACATGCCTGTTTTGCTTTGCTCCGTATTACAAACGGCATACGAAATAAGAGAATTCAACTTTAATTGCTGCAATTAGATACGTACTCGGCAGTAGTAAATCCACGAGGCTGTCGATAAGGCTTGAGTAAGTACGCGACGCTCCGGAAGGTAGAGGAAAAACGCTCGTGCGTGACTTTCGAAGGTGAGAAATCTTGAAAAGTTGGGGTATGTGATGCTGTGGTGCGATTCGATAGATCACTTGATTGAGACACCAAGATGGATCACGTCTGACAAAAACTTCACGATTTGGTTTCCCTTTTCACCCGTTGACATAAGAAGGCGCCTTTGTCATTCCTTTAATAACTTCTCTGTAGGAAATGCATGTACTGTCGTCACTCAATTTCATTCTCTTTCTTCTCTTTCTATTCGAGACAAAGAGTTTTTCATGCGGGAGTAATAAATTGTGAACTATGCTCTCTTCAATATAAAATATGCAATGAAAAGTAATGAAGAACCGAACTTGCACAGTTTCTTCAACCTTTCGTGAATATTATCATAAAGCTCAAGAAGTACAAGACTTTCTTCAAAAAAAGTTATTAATTTTTCCAAAAATTTCTATATTTATTTTACATGTAAAATATTAATAAATTCATTTCAAAAAAATATAAAAATATAAAAATAAAAAAATATGAAATATATATAAATTCATTTATAAAATATGTTTTAATTAAAAATCTGTGTAAAACATATCAAAAATAATCTATATAAAAAAATGCCGGCGAAAGAAAACAATTAACCAAGATATTTAAATCAAAATATTCTATCATTTATAATTAATACAACTATCAGCACCTTTTCTTCTTTTTGGCAGATCGAACGAAAACACTTTCAAAGTAGCGATGTGTAAAAAAAGATACTTGTTTTCTTATATCGCGATCGTTATCGATAGCCAAGTTCGTGTAGTTGGTATATATCGTAGGAAAATTAACTGCGGCGTCTTTCCCGGAATAGGATAGTCGACGGAGAACGCCCGATGCTGTGGACGCCACCGAGAGAGCCGAGGAAAACGAGAGAAAGAGAGACAGAGAGAGAGAAAGGAGCGTCACGACGACGCGGAGGCTGACGACGCACTGACTGCCCGCCTGGGTGCTCCCGACAGTAGTCGCGCAGGATGAGAGAGAAAGAGAGTATGAGACAGGAAAGGGTGGGCAGAGAAGGGAGAGAACGAGAGAGATAGATGGAGAGAGAGTGAATGTGGATGCAACCCTGGTCTCCCGATCTCCTAACTGCACCGACACCCTCTCGCCGTGCCAAAATCCATCCACCCACGCGCTTGTCCGCGAACACCCCCGATGTATCCTCATTCTCGGTTGATCGAGAGTTGCACGCGTCGAAGATCGCGACATACTTTCAGCGACGACAATGTGATGTAGCGAAAGTAGCGGAGCGCAGTTTAAAATTGTGAATATTCTCACCGGAAAATGATTTCATCGAAAATTTCATTGCCTAAGGATAAAGACCGCGCAAATGATGGTCATGAAGAGATGAAGTATGTAACATGTTCTCAGTGTGTTTTTTATAACCCGTATAGAATTCGTTAATGAGTCCACCTAATGAGGTGGGTACTTTATGGCGCGCTTTACACATCTTAATGAATTCAGTAACTTATAAAAATATGCACATTACACGCACATGTGACTAAAGTAATTTATATAATATGTAATTTCCGTCAGTGCTTTTTCCCAACACATATATTTAAAAGAAGAATTTTTCAAATCCGAGTACATGTTTTATATTTTACGTGTTTCACACACAGTTGCGGAATTCTATGTCGAGTGATTTAACGCTAGCAAATGAAACTTGAATATTTAATTAGATAATATAATAGGGCGTATATGCAAGAATGTTAAATAATAAAGACGCACTGAACATTTTCGGAAGCGACCAAACCTTTTTTCGCTACACTTCGTGTAGACAATGAATGTTTTTAAATAATTGCGCAAAAGTTCGTGTTTATTTAATTTAAATATACAGAATACTAAAGGTAAATTGTGGCACATATATTTTCATCTATCTTTCCTGAAAAATAATAAGGTACGGGCTTTAATTTATGTATACTTGATATTAATCGGAAGTAAGTTGAAATCGCAATTATACTCTTAATTGCAACAATAATTTAGATGGAAGCTTAGTTTAAGCCGCGCAACTCCTTTTGTGCTTAAAATCAATTAATGAACTTGTGCCGTTATATTTTCCTTTGATATCTGCAATTTGCGTTTCCTCGAATCTCGGAAAGTTGCCAGCATTTCTCATCGCACTTTCGTTAAGGATTATGTTATTATAGACAATGACTTATGAAAGTATCATAAATCATATAATAGCTGATACTTGATACCAATTCTGCGAAGTTGCAAATCACTCACCACAATAACATACAGTAATGCTCATTAATAATTGCTCTTGTTATCTACTTCGCTTAGCTGACACTATGATACATTTCTGACTACGTTACATGCAATAATGCGAGTCGTTTTAAATGTCTCTTATATATCGTACTTTACTGCTGTGTTTCGTGTAAAAATTCCTAGATATCCTCGAAAAAATATGAACATTTACTGTTATCACAATAAAGCTATGTTATTTACAATACAATTTGTACAAGCATAAAACAAAAATGTACTTATGCCGACAGTATTAAAATATTGCATATAAAATAAAATGTTATACATTATGTAATTATTATAATAAGAATGTATAGACAGCATGTAAATAAATTATATAGCATTGAAAAAATATATTCTCAAAAAAAAAAAATTAATTGTTATCACAGTAAAACTACATCATTTATGCAATACAATTTATATAATCATAAAATCAAAACTTACTTTTATAGATAAGTACATCTAAAATATTATACTTATACGTAAAATATTATATATTATCTAATAAGTATAAATATCATAATAAGTATAAATATTATAATAATAAGGATTTATACAAAGCATGCAATAAATTGTTACAGGATTGAAAATCACTTCCCTGAGATATTTATAGATAAAAAAATTATACACAAAATATTCCATCATTTCCATTAATTCGATCGATTGAAAATGTTTTTTTGGTTATATTGAATATTTAGCCAAGACATAGTACATTTACAGATGTGTAGTATTTACTCACAGCCGTATCATGCAATTAACCGTGTTTGGGGGAGAATTGCATTGAGAAATAGAACGGGAATTACAGTTCAGCCAATTAAGGGACCGAGTATATACACCTTCGCGTAAGAGTGAAAGAGTCTATTCATTGATGAAAGATGTCTAGCACCAAGTACCCAGTCATTCACCATCGGCGAAAAGTAATCTCGCACTTGGTTCGCGAGAAGATTTAGTCGTGGTTGGGCACCGCTGCTACCAAAAAGTCAACCCAATTCTGGTACCACATATTAGGAGTAACTGCAGATAGTTCGAATCTTCAGTTCACAGTTCGTACCTACAAGACTAACCACGCAGAAACGAGAGTTATCGGGCGAAATGAAATTAAATTGCGCAGTGATTTAGATACGAAAGAAAATATTATCACAGCATATTACAAATATTAGCACAGCATGACGCTTCAAATAACGCATTATTATTAATTACATTACTTTTTGCTATTGTAAAATTTGACTGAATATATTATATGTAGCACAATATTTGTAAATATTTTATCACAATAAACGTCTGCAACGATATTTATTTTTATGTTACAATTTATAATTTGATAGTGCATAAAGCCGCTGTGCCTAGAGAGAAAAATTGCAAATATCTCGAAGTTCATGAAGCTAAAGGATTTCGAGAGTACGTAAAACTTTACATGTTATCAGAATACTGTCTGTTGAATTAACATTTCTCACTTTATCTTATACATTCTGTATGCAAGTATAGATTTAAAGTTCGATAAACTTTTATAATATGTAAGTAGGTAAATTGAAGTCAGAATGTCTCTAAAGTTTTTATATAGGATTTATAGAATTACGTTTATAGAAAGACTAATATAAAGAAGTTATTTTTTAACTTATTTTTAAATAGTTCTCACCATGTCTTCCAATATATATATATGTGTGTGTGTGTGTGTGTGTGTGTGTGTGTGTGTGTGTGTGTGTGTATGTGTGTGTACATTATATACAACAAAGTCTCTCACATTAACTTCACAGCGCTATTTAATAAGGCACAAAGTGGACAGACGTTGGTTAAAATTCCAGTCGTTAGTACATTCTACGACATACCCTTGGAATACTTTCTAAGTAATTCCGCGAGAACATTCCGCGGATATAATATCCGTCAGTAGTCGATAGACAGATTCGATAAATTATAATGAATTGGTGTTTGAGAAATTTCAATTCAAATTCGTTATCACCATTTAATTTAGAAATTTTGCATTTTAACTTTAACTCGAAGATTTTGTTAATAAAAAATGAACAATAAATCGTATTATATTCACTTGATCTCTGTTTTTCAAAGGATTATTGACGGTATAGTCGAGCTTAAACTGTAAGCCAGTATTTGTCTCTTTTCTTTCATAATTAAATATGCAACAAGGACGTCAAAATCATGAGTTGCGACAAAAAACTTGCACAAAGAATTTAATTATATTATCTTTTTTTAATTGATCTTTTTTATTGATAAATAAGAATAAAGAAAAATAAATAAAAACGAGAGATGTACATATAAAAATATGTTTTATGGCATTTTATTAGTCTACATTTTCAAATTGAAATAGTAGCCTCATTAATTTTTCCCATTAGCTAACTTTTGTAATAAATTGCAGTAGTAAAAACTTTATTGATATATTTTACTAACTTTTCGTTCGACAGAACTGCAATGTTCCGAACTGTTTCCAAGCTGTTTTCGAGCAGGACTGTTTTTGATCAGGAATGAAATAACTCCGCGATCAACAGTGCATTAATATCCCCATAAACTACATATGCTATATAAAAATATATCTAACATTAACAAAATTTTAACCTTGTAAATATTATATTAAATAATAAATAATAACAGGCTTACATTAAATGAGAAAATTAAGATCATATAATCGATGTTACATATCAACAATTAAGTAATTAATTTTAATTTATTATCTACTATATTGTTATTTATTACTCGGAATTTATTTGTTATATGTGAGAGCAACCATGTTGGTACCTGAGTCAGCACTTACGTAATTTAATAGAAACATAAATATTGCAAAACATTTTTCGGTTATATATAAATGTATCAACAAGTTATACGACATATTACAGACTACCGACAAATTTATTTGGTTTATTAATTAATTTATTTTGTTTAGTTATTCTCAAATTTATTTAAAATATTAGGTGTTGGAATTAATTCGTAGCGTTTTTAATGAAAGAATGTTATTTATTTCACATGAGCATTAAAAAATACATTAATGAAAGTACTTCCCATCACTTGTAAAACGCTACGAATTAATTCCAACACCTAATATTATAAATATTTATATTACTGTAATACTTTAAACACAATGTGTTATTATAATTTGCTTTTATAACTTGTTCTTTTATCAATATTTTATCTTTTTATTTCATATTATCCAATTACGTTTTTGCACTATTTTTTGATCTTATAGTATATTGTGTGACACCATTTTTCTTGCTTGGTCAATCCCCAATCTAACTTATTGTCTCCGTAGGGTTCGACAACATCACAATACATTTGCAGGGTTTCGCAGAAGCCTCTACAAATACTAAAAATGACAGTCTACCTGCAACTGCGATTCAATAAAGACGTAATCATTGTCAGTGCCGATTATCGTATAGGGAAAAGCGTTGGAAATCGGGCGAAAAATGATTGTTATCCAAGGCACGATCATTTTATATATATTGATTCCGTTGTGTAAAATACGGTCCAATTTTTTCGCGAAGATACGTGTCGTTTTTTGTTAAAACGTTTCGAAATTATCATTTTCAAGAATGTTCCACGTAAAGGAGCGCAAATAGAAGAAGCGACATTCTATTTTGAACTTCGTGTCGCTTCAGAGAATGTTTCATAAGGATTCAAAGCTCTTCTGCTTATGCTGTGTAATCTTCAATTAACGTCTAAATAATTCTCCATCTAATTTCGAACACCACTATCGATAATAAATTTGCCGAATATTAGAAGGAAATTACTACGAAAAAATTTAATTTGTCACAAATTAAGTGAGGCTAAAATAAAAAAAATACAGAGATTCTTACAGAGATAATATTAGAATATTAGACAAAATAATGTTAGATAAGGTTCTTTAAACGCAACCAATTTTAATTGCCATTTAACTATTAAATGATAAAAACAACATATTTAATGCTATACTTTTTTAAACATGCAGATTTTTTAAAAAATATTATCTAACAATGCTACACGAAAAGAATGGCTTTATTGAAAAATTTAAAAATTTAAGTAAATACAAATTTGAAAATAATTTTGATCATCGAAATAATTATGAAGGAAATTCAAGTATAATAAGCAAAAAGTTTTAATGTTTTAGTAACCCGCTTCAATGCCTTACATAATTATTCTACAATAATAGTTTAGTAAAATTACTTTCAGATCTAGCTAAATTTTTATATACGTCAAAAAAATTGTACTTTCTGCGCGTCTACTTTTTAAGATTTAAGTGGAACGTAAAGCGGTATCCAAAGAGAGAACATTAGTTGAAATTTCAATTTTACTGCCACTTAAACGCAACTTAAAACAGTGGAATCTTCAAGCGTATATCATGGAAAAATATTAATAAAAATATAGAGAAAGAGCACAAAATCATGTAAATTCGTGAAAATGTTTAAAAAGATAATAATATAAATTTTTCTAATAAAATTCAAATACAATATATTAAAATAATTTTCACAGTTTATTAATCATTAAAGCTCAATAGATTTTTCATTATTCTGATTCGCGCGCGAACAATAAAGCGACATCGTATAAGCTTCGCTTCTCTAAAATTGCTAGTATTCCTTCTGCTCATCGTAACCTCGAGGGCGTACACGCTTCAAGAGTTGATTTCAACTGATTCGACCCCAAGCAGTAACAATTGCTCGACCACCGACAGCTTTCTCATTCTTCGTTCTCCAAACGAGGCACGAGAGAGCAAGATGGACACGATGGCAGCGGATGTGCTTGTGGACAGTACGACGAACAACTCGAACGTGTCGCATCCGAGAACGTTGACCTTACCCAAAGACTGGGATGAGAAGCCAAGACTAAAGTTTCCGAAATTCACAACGGAGGAGCGTTACAAGATGATGAGTTTACATCTCAATAAGGGATGGTTCGCTTTCGATTTTCTCAGAGGCTTCTTGTTTTTCGTACAACCTTACGACATACCGACCGGTAAGATTTAATGGCAATCATAAATGGTTTTTGCGAAATCTCTTTTAGTAAGCTCGTAAACTGTTAAAATACATGTGTTTCGATAAATGCGTTTCGATAAAATCTATTTTCAACATTTTATGAGGCGCCAAGTCATATCAATAATTCATACGCAAGATGTTTCAATTGGAAAAAAGGGAGCGACATTTCACATGTATAAAATGCTTATATAAAACGTGTAAAATGCTACAAAATACGATGCATTTAAACGTCTGTTCATTTAAATGTCTCTTCGTTCAAATGCCTGAACGTTCATAACTCTCAATTCTATGATTGATTAAGTTTTATAGATTACTGCAATCGCAGTAAAAGAAGTTTTTTACTTATATATATGGAGCACGACATTTATATGAAAAGAGATCGATAATTATTGGTATATGTATATATGATCGTGTAAAAGAAGCAGAGTTTCTTTTATTTTTTAAATATTACAACATATATTATAAATATAATATTATAATATATTAAATATTACATATATATTATCAATATGAGAATTTGTTCTTAGCGTTTTTATCTAACTATTACTTTATCTATCACTCAATAGCTCACTATTCAGCAAGTAATTTAAGTTTAATAGATTCCTTGATTACTTTCATACTATTACCGCCTTTCTTCCAATTAGCGATGCATAGAGATCATAATTTATTTTGCTCGTTACAGATCTACTCGTGGACGCCGTAGAAAATCGCATAAGCACCAGTAAATTGATTTCAGAGGTAAGGAAATCACGCTGAGAAATCAGAAATATTTAACTTCCGGTGAATAACGAAGTGGATCATTAAAGAAAGTGCAAGTCTTTATTAGATCCTTGCAACGAAATCCCCGATATTTCCGAGAGCTTTTCTGCGTACTGCAAAGAGAATATCCTATGACGTGCGACGTATACGATACATAATTTTCGCGATCTAACGTCACATAAATACTACTGTTAAGTTTCTCAAACGCATTGTCCTAATCTTACTTTTACAGTCTATGCACGTGGAAGCAGCTTTTCTGGTCTTAGTAGGCATGTGCTGCGTATTGGCCTGCATAATACCTGGCGTGGAACTTTGGTTCGCCTGTCGTCCAATCAGAGAGGATTACAAACCTTCTCAGCATCCGAGTGTTCTCGCATTTCTCCTCACCATTCTCGTCTTTATACTCGGGTAGGATCTATGACGATTCTCTGTTCTTAGACGACGCTCCGAAAACTTATTACCTTCACTTCCAACCCTACTCGTGTTCCTTGATACTTCTGCCCTTGTTGATTACACTTCGTGAGTACGTAATCGTCGCGATGCTGAAATTTCCATGACTATGAAAAGATTTTATTATTTTAAAATTGATACGAACGATTTTTTACTAGATATAAATCACAGTTTTTGTTTTATTTTTAATAATTTTTAGTAGTAAGATAGAAAATTGAAGTGTACATTTATAGGTACTAAATACATACACAGTATATAAGTATGTTAATTAAAATAAAAATTATATTATAATAATATAATTTTTTTATATACATTTACGTTTAAGTAGCTATTATGTAATATTAGAGCAATATGGGAGAGAGAATAAATAAAGTTAAGCGGAAAAGAGATAGGAAGTTTAAGTAGACAGCTATTCGTCTTACTATGACGTTGGAAAACCTTTTACCTAAAGCAAGCACTCACTACGTTATTCATAATCTTTGGTGCGTTGCTTCAGGTCTTGCATGGTGACAATGATAATATGCAACGAGGTGGTGGCGGTCGGGATCGAGAAGCTCCCTATGACAGTAGAGACGGCGTTACAGGATTTAAAGGACTACCACGCGGATACCACATCACAGCTGCGAAAGTGCCTCACGAGAAGTTTGGACGTGACTAGTGAAGCTATCCTCGCGGATCTGGACAGTGAGTGACATTTTCTTTTTAATCAATATTAAGACACTGAATGCGGAAAGTTCCTTCAGGCAAAAAGATCGTATTATCATATATATATATATATATATACTACATTTTATCGTGTTCAATGAAGACAACATGCACTGACGCCTGAGGCGCTTACCGAATGCTTTCTTTCTGTTGGCGTGTGTTACACGTACGTAACCCAGTTACTATAATTGCATTCGTCTTAAATGCTGGTTCTTCTAGACTTTCTACCTTCGCTCGTTATGATCGACGTGTGAGAAATATAGCGCAAACAAACAAAAAATAAGAAAGACACGTTAAAATTGGAAACCATATAATGTAAGATTTTTATTAAGCACTATACAAAGTGCTAAATATACAAAGTGTTTAAAAAATGAGATTAAAAAGTAGATATTTTTATAAAATATTTATGCATTTTAATATAATATATTTAATACTTTTGCGCTTGTGTAAAAAAATTCTTTTTTTCTACCAAGAGAGAGAGAAAAGGAGTTTCTATTATTAAGGAGCTTTTACCAAATCATTATAATAAAGCTTTAAAAGATGTGAATAGTAAACCTTTATTATTCTTTTTCTATCATTTCACGGAACGTTTCGACCACACTAAGTCCTCATCAGCTATGTTTATGAATGAAATAAAAATCCTTAACAATAATTTATATGAACATATTAAAAACTTAGAAACTTAGAAATTAATTTTGGTAACATTATAAAAAATATATATTAATCAAATCATCTCATTCACGATCACAATATGTGTTACAAACTCAAAGAAAAAGAATAAAGGTTTACTGTTTACATCTTTTAAAACTCGTTTATTGTAATGACCTGATAGAAGCTCCTTATATTATTGTTTGAAATTTATTTTTTACGAGCGGATTATCTAATATATTTTTTATTGTAATTATTTATTTTTATTATTATACTAATAGTGATCGAAAGTACAATTCGCAACCGATTAACTAATATCCGGAGGAAATACGGAAAGCGGAGAACCGCTTGTGGTTCGATTGCTTGACTACTTTGATGGAACATAGTATTCGATTGTGACTCTCCGCTTTTGATTCTTGAACAAAACCGCAAATTAGTTAATTCCACCGCAACATCCAATTATAGATTCGCATTTTAACATTATAGTCACTTGCACAATTTAATCAATTTTCACGTGCGTAAACTTGACCATAAATGTGATCGGAAAGTATATTTAATATAATTTAACAATTTAATAATGCAATGAATGTTTGAGCCTGCTTGATCCGTCAATATAAAAGAGACGTCAATATAAAATTAATATTTAAACATAATGAATTTTACTATAATTTTAATAAGAATTTTAAAACTAAATTTTAATACCTTCATTAAAAATTATTAAGTAATTATATTAAAAATTAAATAATATTTTCTAAATTTTTTGGAATGAAATCTCATTCTAAAAGAGTTAAAATATTGTCACTATTTAAAAAAAGTGAAAAATTTACACTCTTGAATAGGAGTGGCAGATTTTCATTCTTTTTTTTTTTTGGAGTAAGATTTCACACTTTTGGAGTAGAATTTATTTCAAAAAAAAGTGAGATGCCTTTCCTTTGAAGGGATGAATTTCATTCTAAAAAAAAGATTGAAAATATCTTATAATCTTATTCAAGAGTGCAAATTTTTCACTCTTTTTCAATAGTGATAATATTTTAATTCTTTTAGAGTGAGATTTAACTCAGAGAGAGAGAGAGAGAGAGAGAGAGAGAGAGAGAGAGAGAGAGAGAGAGTAGCATAAAATTTTTAAAACATGGATCACGCAGCAGTATAAGAATAATGAGGAACAATATCATTTTTTTTATTTATGGTCTATGAATTACAACAAAAGATTCAAATGTGAAATTATATTAACATTTTCAAAAGCTTTTATTCAATTTGATTATTCATTTTTATACATGATATCAGGGTAGTCAGTGACACAAGGTAATTTCTAGTCATATGCCGTATCAGAAATATTTTTAGTTAAATGGTGTGTAACGCTTGTGAATTCTATACACTTTTTTTACATTTACGATATATCTATGTGTTGGACGCAATCACTGGCAGATTGGAACCACAGGTTGTGTGGCTGTTTGCAATATTTTATGCTCTGTATTCATTTCACTTGCACGCATGATAAAATCATTTGTTAATGTATATCGATTTAAGTGTAATGATGTAGTTGATTTGACTTGCGCCCGTAGCGACAAGCGCGGGAGAAAAATTCGAAAGCGAAGGAAACATTTCATCTCGGTAATTAGAATAATTCTATCTTGAAAAGAGAGAATACCATTAGATACAAACTACAATTTTTTCGTACTTTTAGGATTGCATCGTTTCCATTTTACTTTATTTGAAAAACAAAGTGCTTTAATTTCCATGTCTGACAGGAAGACTATAAATCTTTTGCACGTTTATTTATGAAATGCATAAATGCGACGATGGGGTATCTTTTATTTACAAACGGTGAGTTATATATCGAATAATACTTTGTTATTGCCTGTGATATGGAATAGAATATAAGATACATTCGAATCATTAATTCATTACGCGCATCGTACTGAGCTTATTTACTTTAAAATAATGTAGAAGGAATTTCATTATAAATTTCTTTCCCGGGGATTTCATGATGAGATTTCGCTTCAGCAATTCTGATTATATGGGCCAAACGCATGAATTAGCCCGACGAGGTGTTGATGTCCGGCATATGTCGTCTAATGACATTTCTCACGACTAGAGAGGCTCATAGGTGTCTAATGAAAGCTATTGACAGTCTATAATCGTCGCGTAATGGGTCCATCGCTACTGACACGTTAACAACCTCTGGCAAATTGAGCTCGTTAGTGCAATGCCACGGGCATTATGCAAGTTGGCCAATATAAAGCCCGCATACACATCGCCAACCCGTCTCAATTTCAGATCACGTACCGTGCGCCAAGTGGAACGACAACGATACGGTTTATCGACAACGTGACTACGTCGTTTCTTTCGAAGTCCATATATTGAGAACATATATCATAAGACGAATCACACCCTTTGCCCCCCAACGATCGATACCACAAATTGAACTCAAGATTCCAGAGTATTGACTGGGTACAATCCGCAGCGTTTACACCGGATATCGATTTTCTGCCATCTGTCTTTGCCAGAAACTCCAATGTGAATCTCTTGTAAAAGGAATGGAAATATAATAGTTATCAGAGATTTTATGTTATCGTCAAAGACCTGTATTATCAAACCACCTGCGCTGGTTCAAAATTCCTATCAGATTGCGATAACCGACACGGATACAGGACGGATAAATTATTACTGCCACGCACCGACGTGACGGGATTTACAATGTCGCTCGCGTTTATATACTACATGGATGTCGTGTGTTCGTTAGCCCGAGGCGATCACAATCCATTTTTAACGTTTATCCCATCACTCTACTTTTTATATTTTCGTTCGATATTCTAATAATTTCACACGGAAATTTTTTGATAGAGCGAATAAATTACCAGGAGTGTCTGCGGAATATTAAATGGCTTATGCTTGCGACATGATCCGTCCTTTGTATATGCATGCGCAATATTTGTATGTTAATGAAACATCTGTTGAGACTAAAGATAAACGACGCATATTTTACTCGTGTTTTACAGATGTCGAGGAATTATTGGGCGAACCTGTGCAGGCCGAACTCTCTACCGAGACTGGACTTGACGTGGCATTGGATGCGCTCGTTGACCTGGGAAATGGTAAAAACTATAATAAAAATGTTTTTTTATAGAAAAAGATAGCAAGCTTTGATATAATGTCAAAATCGTATAACGTCAAGCGCAATTTCTTTAGTTAACTCTCTAATTTCTAGATATAATTTTTGTAATTAAGAGAACACGAGTCTATTTTTAAAATCTTATATTTTTCTTTGAGTAAAAGATTGTTATATATAATTCATTATTTGATTTCTTGTCTAAAAATATAACTGTTTTATCGCTATTATACGTAGTAACATGCAATACGTTTAAAATGCATGTCATAAAAACATCATAAAGACATCATTTGGTACATACATGTCTAAAAGATATCTAAAAGACATTATAAAGAGATCTTTTAAACAATGCTTGTCTGAATAATGGCTTTCCTATCTTATAAAAGTTAATTGCATAATAATTTTAAAAAGCTAGGAATGCATTTTTCATAAAATTTATCTAGTTTATTTCTAGTTTACAATAATTTATTGGATATACAGCGGTGGAAAATTATTAGGATTTCTTATTTTGCAGTTGAAAGTTTAAGTCTTATTACATAAATATATAAACAGATATTTTCTTAATTTATTACCAAATTCTACAATATAAGAAATTAGCGCCCTTTGTGATTCCGGCTGCTATATTCGGTACGGATGTCGCCGAGAATATTCTATACCAATATTTGTTAAAATGGCAAGGTGGCTGCGCTCTGAAATGTTTGCATATTTGTAACCGTAATATCTACACAACGTACTCATGTCCTACGTATAATATTCATACGTCAAATTATACGTTCTGTGTGGAAGAGAGACTGCGTCATTCATTCATTGCTTCACGAACTGCATGCGCGGTCATAATAAATTTGACGACTTCCGTGGTTTCATCGGATTCTGCAGTGCATCATGCAATCATTCATTCATTCATCGCACCATTTACTCATCACTCAAGATTACATGTTTTGATAGAATATAGTGGTGCATATTAAGTCACGTTCATTAAAATTTTATTAATTTGAAATAGATGACTTTTGTAGGAATGAAAGAGATGCCAATTTTAATCACTTTCAATTTAACGCATTTCTTTATACTAAGTTCGTTTGCGTTATGTTTGTGCATGTATATTTAATTCATATTGCATGTATGATATGATTCAGTTAGTCGAGTGTGTAATTAACACGTTTGTGTAACATATAAATGCAACATATACGTAAATGTAACATGCTACTTTTGGAACCGCCAATTTACTAAACGTTACGGATGATTCAAATTGTTTCTGGAAACGTTATTCGATCTTCAAATGAATTCGCCGCCGTTAAGTGACCTTCTCAGCCTGGAGTGTCACTTAGTCACGGTACTAAGTTACTAACAGTACACTAACTAAATTAGCAGGTACTACCGCAACTACGAGCCTCTTGCTCTTGCTATCTCCTTTCGAGCAACTCCTTGCCTAATCACTACACGTGTATCATACTTACACGCTATACTTAGTGCTTTGTACCGGGTGGTCTGAAATAAACTCTTAATACACGGTTTACAGGAACTGTTAATGAAAGCCGCGGGAGAGTAAACTGTTTTTCAGAATAAATTGAACGTGTTTTCTTCTGCAGAAGACTTATTTCAATCAACAGAGTATAGCTTATCCAAGATATTAAGAAGTACAAAAGTTATGTGACTCTAATATAGTTACCTGGAAATGTATATGAATCTTTATAAAGTAAAAGTTGAAGTAAATAATAGACTGCCGATATTAAGCCAACGTAAATAAGAAAAGCAAAGTCACACACACTCGTGCTAAAAAGTTTTAATTAGGCAAAATTTGAACTGTGTGCACAAGTAAAGTTTATACAGACTGCAGTTTGAACTGCATGATTATTATTAAATGTTATATTTATTTCCCCTATAAAAAGAACGATTTCACTGAAGTATATAAAAATTTAGCTGGATTCATGTTTGAAAATAATTTTGTTTACCATACTATAGTATACGTAACGTATACTATGATATTTTCCTAGTTTTATGTATGCAATACTTTTCAAGAATAGAGGCTCTGGCAACTTAACCGTCCCATAATAATTATCTTGATGATCTAACAAAATTATCTTCAGAGCTGAAACTACTGTGTTTAATTAAATTTTTAGATATACTAGCATTTTTTCAGTAAATGTATTACTAATTAATGCCGATATATTTATATAGTATAATACATATAGTTGATATGTCAACAATTTTTTATTACGATTTCTTTAACTTTTTTTCTTTACACAATATTGCAATGATATTTTATGATAAAATATCATTGCAATATTGAACAAAGAAGAAAAAACTGAAATGTACTGATTTGTAGCACACGCCGTATACTTTGTCTAAAGATGTAACCACGAGGCTCGGCTCGAGGATTGCTTTCCTTGACAGTGTGCGTTCGTAGCGAATTAATTCAAGTAACGAAAACCTGTTATAGTGGCAAGTGCTCGGAGACGTGATATCGCTATCATGTATTTCTCATCAGTACAGACAAAGTCTAATACATAAATGGCAAATAGCGGCCTCTTATAAATTGCTTCGTTATACTGCACGTTATTACTTTCGGTTGTCGACTAATAGTTTGATAGCTTACTCAAGCACCCAGTATGTCGAAAGTTTGTCTTAAGATTATTAAGTCCATCGATCTGAGTTATTATCAGACGTAGACGAAGATAAATGTAGATAGTTATTAAATTACGAAGAGAGATTTACATTAGCGGTCTAGAGTTGGTTTGCATCTTACAGAATCATATCCAAAGTTTTCGTTAAGAAATAAATAAAATTCTGCAATCAATAAGTGTCAGTGCTAATGAAAATACTCAATTCCATAATAAATACATGCAATCCAAGAGTTCAATTTTCATATAGTAAACTTAGATGACTTCTGCATTAATTTCTAAAGGTAGATTGAAGGTAAGAAGTGAATATGAACAGTATTAATGGTATCGTATCGTATGTTTCAGCGACGCAAGAGTTATCTGCCAAAACCGAATCTTTGCTCAGGGAGGGTGAGAGAGCTCACGAACTCGGATTGGAATTGAGTAGGGAAACGAACAAGATACGACGGGACTTGGAAGGTGCGGTGAGAGCATGCTCGGGTCCAGATCGTTCTCTTTGTGCTGTCATTGACTCTTCGGGGATTCGCCTGGATCTACGGATAGAACGGGTAAATAAACTTTACGATTGACGTTCATTCAGTCTAATAGCGTTTCAAGGTTCGCTCAGGATAAACGATTCGATTCGTGGCAATATTTTCATTATAATATTCTATTTTATTTATGTGAATTAAATAATGAACATAGTTCAATAAGTATGGATGAATAAAATGCATTTGTAAACAATTAAAATTATAGTAGTTAATATTTACATAATCTAAGAGCTATATAACGATATTTATTTTCCATTATCTCTCAGAATTTTAATTAAAACTTCTCTTGATCAACACCGGGAATGATCGTACTGCGGGACCACGTAGAAAATCACTTTCTCTCTTCCTCCCTCTCTCTCTCTCTCTCTCTCTCTCTCTCTCTCTCTCACTCTCTCTCTCTCTCTCTATTTTATTTGAAATTTATACATCACTAAATTAAATTTTTTAGATTTACTTCTATTCTAATATGTCTTATTTTTTTCTATGCTTATTTTATATCCCTCTACAATTTAATTATACTTTTAATTACTGTAATTGTATGAATTTTATAATCGCAATTTTAACATTTTATATTTTGGCACAATTTTTATATTTTATATTTTTTTATTTTATATTTTATATTTTAGTACAATTTTCTTATCCTTTATCAATTTGTAAATTAATAATATTAAATTAAGAAAATAATTGTTTAAATTGATTGTTTGCAGTACAATATGCAGCGAAAACTTTCGACATTTTTCTCTTTATTTTTTATTAATCACATGAAGCTTTATCGTATGTACACATAAGTAATACATTTCCAAATTCAAATGCACTTTTCTCTTATAGTCATTGAATGAATACAATTATGTTACATGGTAATAGCAATATTTTTCTCACCATTTCCATTTTTTTCAATTTATCGTTTATTCAATTTTTCCAAGATAGATATTTCCCTCAATAAATAAAATCCTATTAATAAAAAATGCTATAAAAAATACACAATTTTATTTGTTTTTTAAAATCATACTGCTTTTACACTGCTTTAAATAATTTCATGAAAGATATTAAACTAATTTAAGCAATTCACTCGCCGCTGACACAATATCGATCCATTCTTTACTCTTATATAAGTAACTCTATTCTTATATTGTTCGTACTGATAATTTCAGAATGACGAGTCAAATTTTAATAACAAATTAAATAAATTCAAATTTTAAACAGATCAACTTTTTATAGCAAGAGACATTAATAAAATTTTTATTTGTTTTTAGTTTAAAATATACGAGCTTCAAAATAAGAACTAGATCTACTCTCGTTTTGCTTATTTTGAGATATCCTCTATATTTCTTATCGCAGCTACTGAGGGACGATCGTATTTTGCGTTTACGAAGCACCAGTCGGGAAAATTTGACGGAAGCAGGACGTCAGGCTCGCGGAGAGTATCTCCACGTACAGCATCACATTGCCAGGACCACACTGGATGCTCGCAACCGTAGGTAGAATATTCACGGTTCCATTTTCCGAATTGATATTATATCGGAAAAGTTATGAGAACTGCATTCTCGATAGCAAGTTTTTTTTTCGATACAAACCAATTGCAGTCAAACATGCACTCGGAGAATTCACATATGTGGACTCTATGGAATTTAGTTGAGTGTGTAACTATTTGTCTGAGAAGAACTAGAATGTAGGAAGGAGAATGTAGGAAAAGGAGGAAAATGATATGCTATAGCGTCAGAAAAGTTTCCAACATTGATGCCATGTATTATGATACGTTATGGCACACATGACGCTACACAGAAATCGCGATGACACTTCAGCGTAGAAACTTCGTCGAAGAGCTCGCGCTCCCGAAGAAAGCTAAATTAGAGCTTTCATTGCCAGGTTCCTCTGGATGCTATGCGAGATGACGCGAATTAAGCTGGATAAATGGCTCACGGCGTTTCACTTGGCAAACTAACAAATGATACGAACAATTGCATGCTTTTCACGGCATAACTCGCTAATTTACGAATGCGAAGATATGTTGTACATACATTTCTTGTTCTCTTTATGTCTTTACGTATTATTTAATTAACTCTATATAAATTTTTCCATAATAGAAATTTGATTTACTGATATTTTATCTTAAGATTTTAAGTTTATAATGACTTATACATACTAATGACTTACACTTTATCACGAAATATAATAATAATAATAATAATAATAAAAACCACGAATTTTAATAATTTTATAATATTTAATAATTATATATAATAGATATAATTAAAATTTGAAAATTTATAATAATTACAGTTACAATACTAAAATGTCTATTTCCGATTATTTCTACGAACTTGTATGAATGCGTCTGCTTATTCGTGGAATAATTCCCACGTGCAAATTTAGGTGGCAATCGAAAAGGAAAGCAATCTGCAACTACAAATAATAGAAGGGAAAGATGAAGAAAAGAAACATGGAAGCGAACACTCACCGCGATTAAACTGTAGTAAATGTCGATAAATCTCGCTCTAGTTAGTTACTGTGTGGAATGCATATTTCAACTACCTTAAAGAATAAAGTCTTACGGAGCTTCGAAGAAAATAAGGATGAATTTTGATGGATTTTGTAACGCGGGAATTGTTTCCATCGTGCAGATGCACGGACAAACAGAAACGCATATACTTGTTTCAACATTTTATGGCAGACTTTCGGTACTTTAAACACTAATATCAATGCGTTTCGTATAACTTGAAAACTTTAGCAGAAAGAATAAGAACGAAGAAATACGACTTTGATAGAACAGAGTGTGAAAAATAAATTTCTCAATTGGAAGACACGATTATAAACGCTTAGAATGCTACATATATTTCGAAACAAACAATATCAAACTTTTGAAAGTTTTTTTGAACGTTGCATATTTCATAAACAATATTTCGACGCAAAGTCAATATCGAAGAGATGCAATAAAAAAGCAAAATTCTGAAAAAAAATTCTTTTGATACATTCATAACACACACGTTGTCTTTATCGAATGTTCTTTTCCTCCTTACTCTCCCTATCTATGCTATGAATTTTTGTCTATATGTAAGTATATTATACTAGGAACCGTGATATATTTAAGGCAGATTATAACTTTAAAAGAAAGTAAACAAACCAGACTAAAACCAGATCACGTTTTATCGTGAACGAAGTTGAGAAAACACAAACTTGTTAGTTCTATGGAAGTGCATTTTGATGTTCTAATAATTAAAATATTCGGAATCATCACATCGGATCGATGCAATTGAAAATAAGTTAATGCAAATACAACAATGGTATATTTATCCTTTTCTTATATCAACAAAATTTATTAGGTGTTGGAATTAATTCGTAGCGTTTTTTAATGAAAGAATGTTATTTATTTCACATGAGCATTAAAAAATACATTAATGAAAGTACTTCCCATCACTTGTAAAACGCTACGAATTAATTCCAACACCTAATATGTTTATGCATGATCCGTTTGTATATTACAAAGACTAGAATCCTTCGAATATTTTTCACCGTCTCTCAATCATTTTTAGAACACATAAAATTGTAGTTCTGCTTTCGTCAAGAGCTTTATAAAAAGTATCTTATTTCGAATTCAAAGCTTTAGTTTTCTAAAATGTTGACAGCTTCCAAGAAATATATTATATAAGATCCATATATTAATTCCTTGCTGTGTTGCATAAAACGCGCATAAATTTCCAGCGTGAAATATTTCGAATTCGTACAATGAATTATTTCTACAGAAGGATTATTTCAAGAATGATCTATAGTCATAATAGTTGTAATAAAAATAAAATTTAAATCATTGATTGAAGATATTCTACTTAAAATAATTTAGAAGATATTACAATTTTTTTGTATGTAGCACGCAATAATATAATCAATATTTAAAGATTTTAAATATTTACACTTATAATACATAATTTTTTTATAAATGTTATATGTCTCTTTTGATGATTTCGAATATATCGTTCCTTTATTTCAAAAATTACATAATTAATTAAAATACACATACTTAATTTTAAAAATTATAAGATTATTTTTCCGCAGAAAAAGTGAAAAATTTATTTTTCATTTAACTTGACAGAAAATAATTAATTAATAAAATAATAAAAAATATATTGGCAATGTAATCAAATGTCATTTTAATTATTTTTGTTTTATAAAACTCTTGTCTTAAAAAACTCTTTTTGAATGATGATGTTTTATTAACAATTTTTCATGAAATTAGTTCCCTTTCGATAATTGATAATTGATAATTGATGTAATATTTACTTAATTCATTCACAGTAATAATTCAAAAATTATTAATTTTTTAGTTGTATCACTTTTAAAGTAAGGAAGTGATAAGTTGCATTTTTATCGAACTGAGCTTAAGTAGAAACATTTTAGCCTAACAAAAAAAGCTTATATCAATTTATCATACATGAAATCATCTTGTTAAACGATCTCCTGCCTCCTATATTCTCTCCTGTTTTTTAGACTAAGTGCGGAACGTCGCGTTTCTCAATAACAGTTTTTGCACACTCTTCCTGTTCTTTTTCAACGTACTGTATAAACGATATTTCGTCACGGGCCGAAGGGAATTCGTGTCAGCATTTTTGCCTCAGAGTGCGATGAGCACGAGATCTTGCAGCGGAAAAGGGAGAGTCAGGAGACTTTATCCTTAATAGACAAACGAAATGTGGTAAATGCTTTGAGCAAACATCTTTGTGAACCCTGCGATCATGTTATACATCTTTCCCAAGACGCCCATATAAACTTTCGTGATAGGATTGGTGATTGATGCTAAGAGAATCACTCGTTGACAGCCTGTCGCGTTGGACAGTCACGGACCTATTTTACTGTTTTGTTAGATGACGGTATGTGTACCTACTTTGCAACGTAAATGAAATAAGCTTAACAAAAAATTTACAACTAAAAATTACATACATATTATAAACATATGTGTATATGTGCATTTAAAATATTGAAAATAAAAACATTTCATATAATTTTTAAACAAAATTTATAAGATAAAAAAAAGAAAAATTAAAATTAAATTAAAATACTTTAGAAAAATTTCCATAATGTAAATGATGCAAATGCATTTATAAAATTTATTTATTAATTGTGTTTATTTTTTTCTCTCAGATTCTACAATATATTCTTTCCTCTTTCTTTTTGATCATAATTAGTTTTCACTGACACGCAGCCGTCTGATGGCAATATTACAAATTATTATTTTTCCCAATTAAATATCTGCGATGAATTAAATGCTATAATTATATATATATATATATATATATATATACATACATATATATTGAATAAACGCGTATATTCAACAAATTTACATCAATAAATAGTCATCATTAAATAGTCAATAGAGTAATAACATACATATAAATGCATCATATAAAATCCATGTTATTGGATGATGAACATTGCTTTTTCGAATAATAAAGCATAAGGATGCCAAAGAAATTATTAATAAAGAAAATTGAGAAGATTCCCGAAGGAACGAGAGATGATGGATGTTACAGCACTGGAATGTCGATGAACCGAAGCGACGCGGACTTGTACTCCTGTCGACTTCTCTCAACTCGCCATCGACCAATAATGTTTGTCACCCTCCGCTATCCATCGACAGACAGATCCGATAGAGTGGTGACGGTCGGCATCTAATGCGAAATCCATATCACATTAATATTACTACGTGAAAAGAAAAGTTGCAAAAAATTTGTAAAGATTTCGTCCTCTTGCCGGGACGATAAAGTCGAACAAGTTCAACGTCTATCAATCGGAGGTTATTACCAAGCACTTTCTGCACGCGATGAAGACTCTGGATTATTACGAAGAAAGTTTGACACTGAAATAATGTATTCTATGTGTTAGTACAAGATAAACTTTCGAATGACTCGATGCAGAATTCTATATAGAAGTGACGTGTAGTAACTCGTATTTCTTTATAGAAAGAGCAAGATATTACTATTGTGTTAATAATATTATCAGTCAGAGTGAAAATTATTACTTGAGAAACTTTGCCCTCGGAACAGTGAAATATTATGAAAATAATATAAAATTATCCTGAGAATCTTGTTATTTTACGCGGTAATTATATTAATTTCACAAATAACTTCGACAAATACCACGAATATGTCTAATTTGTCACTGAGATAAAATTGATGATATTTTATCTTTGATTAAAGGATTAATGATATTTTTAATATATTAAGAATTATATTATCAAAATTCAACGTATATATTAAGATATATCCCATACAGCACAGAACGTTGAAAGAATGTTGCTGAGATATTGCAATGTTCTATCTACAGTGAGAGCAAAAACTATTCGTATAAGAAAATTTGTTATAAAAAAAGTCTTATTTGTTGAAAAAAACATTAATTAGCAATTTTATACAATAAATACATTCTAACATAAACAAACGAGCTTTGCATGTATTCCTGATTTTAGAAGCTAAATTTCTTGTATGAATACTTTTTGAGCATTCATACAATTTTTAATTTTCGCTTATTTTTCAGATGATACATTTTGTATAATTAATATACATCTTTCTGGTATATATAATTTTAAGAAACGTACAGTCTATTTTAGTCTTTATGAATAAATTGTTAATTATCCAACAAGAAATGATCGTCGAATCGATGTCAAATTGATGTCATCGTGAAATCATCGTATTTATATTGATTCGACATCAATTCGATGACTCATTTTTCGCTGGATAATATTTACTTTTTAAAAATAAAGTTTTTTTAAAAAATATTTTCTCTATACGAATACTTTTTGCACTCACTGTATATTGATTCTTCTACATTGATTGTTAATGCTGCTGCACGTTGAAATAATATTGAATAAATTAAACCACAAATTGAATTTTTATTGATTTTCCACATTGATTATATTAATGTTGCTGCAACGTTGAAACGACATTGAATAAATTTATATATCAAAATTTATTTTATTTGATAAAAAATAAATATTAATAAAATATCATATAAATAGAAAATTGAAATCACTTAAATTGATCTTTTAACGAAACTTATTTTTAAATGACATATGTTTACATGGGAATCACCGCACATGCAGAATACTCGCGCGTGTGGTATTGTTTGTGTTTGACCAGTCCGATGTGCGACGTCGACTCATCTTTCTACATATCTATATGTCACACACAGTTATGCATCCACCTTCAATGTTCGTGGATCATCGAAGTGTTCCCGCACGATTGCAAAGATTCAATGCCTTGGATGGAGTACAAGATTGGATGAGTGACCGCTTAGGAAAATAAGAAAATTAATTCTTAAATGAAAGAGAAAGCGGTTTTTTTTTCAATTATGATTTTGTCGTGTGTGTTCCGAAATATAACGTTAATTAATAATATTTTTTTAATAATAAAACTGATATGCAATTAATATGCAGAAAATATTTTATTATTATCTTACAGACATTGCAATTCAACGGATATTAGACGTTTCTGCAACGTCTCTTCAACATTGAATCTACATTTCGCGATGTTGTTGCAATGTTCGCAATGTTGCAATTCAACATTTCTGAGATATTTATTCAATGTTAGTGTGCTGTATGGGTATATTTTTCAATATATTTTTCGTGAATATATCTTTTTTTCACAAAGACACTGATATACGTTCTTGTATATAGAAAAATTATGAAATATTTTATATTTTGAAAATTATAAAATATTTTATATTCCAAAATTTAATATTTTGTAGAGATTCGACGTGAGATTAATGCAGCACGTGCCAGGATTGTCGATCACACGCGCACTGTAGAGAACAGTTTTGAACTCTCAAAGCAGCTTATAGACTCTGTAAAGAACATCACGGATTACGTTGTACCGTATGTTATCGCTTTCGAACAAATCAGATGGATCATTGGAACAGGTACATACAATTTTTCAAGATTGCATTGAATATTTTTCTGTTTATATTTACCGCACTAATATTTGGAAAATGATTGTAGAGATTATATAAAGCATTTCCAAGTGAGTGACGCATATAAGAAAATAACTCAATCTGAAGTTACATACAGTATAATATGTTACATTTTTTACATACACAGATTTCTTTTACAACTCTTGAAGAAAATTTTCAATAATTTTGTTATCCTAAGCAAAAATAAGACGTATACATGTATTGCGTTTTAAATAAGATTTAGGATAATGCATTCAAATTATTTATGCAATTAAATACATATAAAAAATAAAAGTGTAATGGGAGGTTTACATACAATAAATAATTATTAAATAAAAAAACAGTAAAACATCAATATAATAAAACACAAAACATATGTATATTAGGCGTCATTTATAAGAATAAGTGGCTGACGCATGTTCTGATTACTTTTAATATGTGCAGCTACTGCTCTGTGTATTTTACCAATTCTTTCGTTACTGATTGGAGCTTTATGCTGTCGCTGCGGATCATCCGAAAATAAAGTGCGTCCAACTCTTTTGTGGTAAGCTTTATGTAACTCGTATAAATCATAGTAGAAGCAGAAAGTTCTGTTACATTTTCCATGGCATCTTTTATTGCGTTATATTAGGTAAGATTTTATGGCATTAAATACAATGGATAGAGTACGATATGATATAAAAATATGATAGGATTCATATTTGGTGCTGACGACACAACTTAAAATATATATATTCATAGAAATCCTATCGTTCTCAATCAACACTTTAGCAGTTCTCTATCAACTTTTTTTTGGCAGAGTTAGTATTTATAATTCTTTTTTCAAAATCATTTTAAATAATGTTTTAAGATACTAATACGACTCTATGATTAGTTTATGACATCTTAAGAATAACCAATCACAGTATCAACATAAAAATAAAGTTTATAAATACCAATCTTTAAGTTTAACGAAAGTGATGCCATGTTCTACAAAATTTATTGTAAAAAAAACACTTGTTAACTGAATTGTGTTGCCAGACCGAAAATTTAGTCGACGCGTAGTTTTAGAACTCATATATATATATATATATATAATTACTCTGAAATATTATTATTATGTTATTAATATGTATGTTGTTAATATATATAACTAATAAATATTACACTAAGTTTATAATGGACTGTAATATTGGTCAGAACAATTTTATTCACTTTGTACGTTTATTTTGTAAGCAATTATATTCACATTTTTCATTATATTATATCATTATTTCATTGTTTCGGTATCTTTTGTTTTAAAATTAAAGGCAACTTTATGACTCATTAATTATATAGCGTATTTGCACTATTAATCATGGGCGTCGACTAGAGTGTGATTCATATGGAGTATTCCACACTTGAAATTTTTCGATGTATGGAATTCCACATTTGGAAATCCAAAGAATGTATAAATTATTTTTTGACGAAATAATTTATTATTTAATATTTTATTGAATTTAAAAGTTAAAATTGAAAATAAAAGTTAATTAAACTATATATGTTGCAAAGTTGCGTGTTTACAACTTGATCGGCGATTGTCTCTTTCACGATTGTCGACTGGTATTTCACGAGTAATATTGATCGCATTATTACAATATATAAAACGGATTTTGATAGGAGCAAATTAAAACTACATCAAACGATGTTTTATAATATAGTGGAGGACAAGAAAATAGAGATTTGTAATTTAAAATTTTTGAAAAAAGATGTAGCCGTGAGAGAAATTATATCAGAATACACAAAAAATGATAAAACTTCTACTTACAATCCCGGCAACATCCTACACTGCGAAAAAATCTTTTTCGGCTCTTAGGAGATTAAAAACTTATCTACGTCCTACGGTACTTCCAATTTTGTTAAATAGTACGATTGTTTTGCATATTCATTCAGATGTTGTACAAAATCATAATTTAAAAATTATAATGGATGAATTTATAAGCAGAAACAAAATTCCAAATTTGGGTATTCTACATGATTACATATATTATATATATATATACTATATATGAAAAATATATGCAACAAATATATAGGTATATATATAACAAAAATATATGTGCAACAGTT